TACTGTTCCAGTCATTTTTGGATAATCTTCAGTAGAATCTTGCTTGCATGTGAAATCAATGATATTTTTCTGTAGTTTCCACACTCAGTTGGGTCGCCCTTCTTTGGGATGCGAACAAATATAGACCTTTCCAGTCAGTTGGCCAAGTGGTTGGTCTCAGATTTCTTGGCACAACTTGGTGAGCACATCCAAGGCAGCATCTGTTAGCTATCTTAAATAATTATTAAACATCTTCTTTATTCCCATTCTAAAAGTCCATCTATCTGTTTTCCTTATTCTAAAATGATTGCTGATACCAGCTCATTTGTGTAACACTCCATCTGACCTCTTTTCTAAACTTGAACTCCTTTGCAGGAAATGAGACTCAAATATTACCTGTGTGCAATTCCTCTTCCTTGGATCCAACAAGCTCTCCTGTTTCAGAAGGAAGTGCTCCTGTCTGCATAGGTAAGAATCAATTTCTAGGCAGTGAGATAGAACAACAGTAAGCTAGACAGCTGGAGTCTGAGTGAGAGAGTTAAAAGCAAATGTTGGCACTCACCAGGGAGCTGCTTGCTGATGCCACATACATGCTGGGGAGCTGCTTGCTGACGCCTCACATGTTCTGCAGAGCTCCTAGCTGAAGCCACACACACCCCAGGGAGCTGCTTTCTGATGCCACACAAATGTTAGGGAACTGCTTCTTGGTGCCACACACATGCTGGGGAGCTGCTAGATGATGCCACGCATGCACCAGGGAGCTGCTTGCTGATGCCACACAAGCGCCAAGGAGCTACTGACACATGCACTGGGGAGCAACACACTGGGAGCGACATGTTGGAAGGGCAGGAAAACTGGAGTCTGAGTGAGTGTGAGCCTGTAACTCCAGTCCAGTCATTGCCAGCCTGTGCTCAGAACACCACTCCCAACATGCACCAGAAGCAACACTGGAACTTGAGTGAGGTACTTTGTGGGGTGGGAGGGATCACTGCTGTTTGGCTAGATCATGTGGAACCCCTTAAGCTCAATCATAAGGGAGTGAGACAGTTGGAGCTCATCCTTGAAGGGAAAACCAAGGCTTCCTGGTTTTCCAATCAGATCTCCATGTTCCTCCTTGCATTTCCTAACTTTCAGTCCATCAGCTACATTTAGCCCACAGCTCCTTGGGCTATCCTAGCTGTGGCAGTTGTCTGACAGAGGAGGCTGCATTCCACAGGTCTTTTCTCAATTAAACTGAGAGAAACTCAGGCAGGGTAGCTGCTCCACCCTCTTATGTAGCAGTGATTTCAGATCAAGAACCTGCTATTCCCTCAGACATGGAAAACTCTACCACAGCAAGGTCACAGAGGAAGCAGGCTACCTAATCCCCATGCAAGCCAAAAGCAAGATGTCACCTCCAAAAAAATGACACAGTATCAACGGATTTCATGAAGCCAGAAAGTCTGATGAAACTTTCTGACACAGAATTTAAAAGAACAATGACTGAAAATGTTAAATTGGTGAAAGACAAACATGAAGAATCATAGGACACCACAAGGAAAAACCAGGAGGACCTTAAAAAAAACCCAACCAAAAAACTAAAAACAATCCAAAACAATTCAGATAAAACAAAGTAGGCATTAGAAGATCTGGAAAAAACATGAAGCCACAATCCAAAATATGAGGACCAATGTTTCAGATGCTGTCAATATGATAGAGGGTCACATGAACAGGGTTGAAGATATGGAACACAGAAACAGTGAAATAGAAGATAGAATTGTCACCACTGATCTTCCAGAACAAAAAGCAGAATCAAAAAGAAAGGAAAAAGAAGAAAACCTAAGGATAACGTGGGACACCATCAATAAAAATAGCATGCGCATCATTGGAATCTCAGAATAGGAAGAAGCAATGAAAGGCATGGAAAAAAAGTTGTGGAAGAATTTATAGAAGGAAATTTCCTGGGCATAAATATTCAAGAAGCTGAGAGAACACCATATAGAATAGAACTCAAAAGAAAAACACCAAGAAATATCAGTCAAATTTTTGAGAACCAAAGATAAGGAGCCAATTCTGAATGCAGCAAGGGAGAAACAAAGAATAACGTATAAGGAAGAGCTAATAAGATTAAGTGCCTATTTCTCAGCAGAAATTATGCAAGCAAGAAGATAATGGAATGACATGTATCGAACACTCAAAGAACACAACTTTCAACCCAGCAAAATTGTCCATCACATATGAAGGAGAGATCAACATATTCCCAGAAAAACAGAACCTCAGTGTGTTTGTAAAAATAAGACCAGCATAGCAGGAAAACACTGAGAGACATCTTTCATACTGAGGTGCCACAGAAATCAGGATGGACCAAAGCAACTAGCAACAATGCCAAGAAGTACTCAACACCAATGATAGCAGTGAAATCTTGTCTTTCGATAATCACTATGAAAATAAACAGTTTATATGCACCACTGAAGTGAAAAAGAGTAGCAGATTGGATAAAAAAACCCCAAAAATCCACCAATATGCTGTCTACAAGAGACACATCTCAAAAATAAAGAAAAAGAAAGACTAAAGGTAAAAGGGTGGGGGAAAAAATATACCAAGCAAATGGTAACCAGAAAAAAGCAAGAGTAGTGATATCAAGGGCTGGAGAAGAGTATTGAATGTACCATGGACTGCCAAGAAAACAAACAGATTCATTCTAGAGAGGGTTAAACCAGGCTGCTCCTTGGAGGCAAGGATTCTGGGGCTTCGTCTGACATACTTTGGACATGTTGTAAGGAGAGACATGTCTTTAGAGAGGGACATCATGCTGGGTAGAATAGAGGGACAGCGAAGGAGGGGAAGACCCTCCATGAAGTGGATTGATTCAGTGACTGGGGTAATCAGGATGGGTGTGTCAGAGGCAATGAGGTTGGCACAGGATAGAGCACGGTTTACGGCTGTTGTACATAGCATAGGGTCGCTATGAGTTGCAAACGACTCAACAGCACATAACAACAACAAAACAACAGTGATATCAATCTCTGATGAAATAGATTCCAATGCAAAAATCATCACAAAGGTCAAGGAAGGTCACTACATAATGATTAAAGGTCAATATAGAACAAGAGGACATACAATAATAAATATCTATGCACCAAATGATAGAGCTGCAAAATATATAAAACAAACATTAACAAAACTGAAAAAGGAAATAGACACCACGACTATAGTAGTCGGAGACTTCAATACATGACTCTCAAGAAAAGGTAGAATGTCCAGAAAGAAACTCAATAAAGATGCTGAAGAATTAAACCACAAAATAAACCAACTTGATCTCACAGATATTTACAGGCTAATGCACTCAAGGAGGAGTGGCATCCACTTCCATGATAGCTTGCTTCCGGAAATCCTATGAACCTGGAGAGAGGAGGAAAGGCACCCAAGCATCGAGGGCTCTCTTTCATAGGGTCACTATGAGTCACCTGCGACTTGACGGCACTGAACAACAATAACAACAACAACAACAATTCACTCAAAAAAAAGCACAGTATACCTTCTTCTCCAATGTGCATGGAACATTTTCCAGAACAGATCATATTTTAAGACACAAGGCAAGCATCAATAAATTCAAAAGCATAGAAATAATACAAAGCACCTTCTCAGACTGCAATGCTACAAAATTAGAAATTAATAACAAGTGGATAAAGAAGAAGAAAAAATCATACATTTGGAAGCTGAACAACACCTTGCTTGAACATGAGTGCATGTTAAAAGAAATAAAAAATAAAATTAAAAAGTTTCTTGAAATACTTGACAATGAAGACACAACTTACCAACACCTCTGGGAAACAGCCAAAGCAGAAATCAGAGGTCAATTTATAGCAATAAGGAAATACATTAAAAGACAGGAAAAAAAATGACCATTGACTCTCTAACTCAACATCTCCAACAAATTGGAAAAGAAAAGCAAGAAAATCTGACACCCTCCAAAAAAAAAGAAAGAAAGAAAGAAAGAAAAAAAAACCCTGTTATAAAAATTCAGGCAGAAATAAATAAATAGAAAACAGAAAAAAAATTGAAACCATCAGCAAAACCAGGAGTTGATTCTTTGAAAAGGTCAATAAAATTGACAAATCACTGGCAAAACTAACAAAAGAAAAGAAGGAAAAGACATGAATAATCCAAATAAGGGATGAAAAAGGCAGTGTCATAACAGAACCCACTAAAGTAAAAAGGTTAACAATGGAATATTATGAAAGACAATACTCAAACAAATATGAAAACCTAGAGGAAATGGACAAATACTTAGAAAATCACAACCTACCTAAATTGATACAAACCAAATTTGAACACTTGAACAAACCCATTACAAAAGAAGAAGTTGAAAAGACAATAAAACAACTTCCAGCCAAAAAAAGTCCTGGAGGAAATATTTTTAATAATTAATTTTATCAAACATTCAGAGAAGAACTTTCACCAATTCTACATAAGCTATTTTAGAAAATATAAAAAGATGGAATTCTCCCAGACTCATTCTATTAAGCAAACATATTCTAGATACCAAAGTCAAGTAGAGACACCACCAAAATAGAAATTTATAGGCCAAAATCTCTCATGAACATAGTTGCAAAAATCCTGAATAAAATCCTGGCCAACAGAATCCAATGACACATAAATAAATTAATTCATCATGACCAAGTGGGATTCATAACAGGTATGCAAGGATGGTTCAACATAAGAAAAATAATTAATGTAATTCCTCACATTAACAAAGCAAAGAGCAAGAACCACATGATTTTATCAATTGATGTAGAAAAGACCTTAGACAAAATCCAATACCTTTCCTGATTAAAACACTCAACCAAATAGAGGGGGATTTCCTCAACATAGTAAAAAATATATATGCAAACCCGAGAGCCAAGATTGTTCTCAGTGAAGAGAATTTAAAGACATTCCCCTTGAGAACAGGAATTAGGCAAGGCTGCCCACTATCACCTCTCCTATTCAATATTATACTGGAAGTTTTAGCAATAGCAATAAGACAAGAGAAGGAAATAAGAAGTATCCAAATTGGCAAAGAGGAGGTAAAATTGTCTCTATATGTGACGCGAGCTACAGGCAGGAGGGCAGACCGACAGAATGACTGAAGCCACTGGAGGCGAGCAAGATGGCGCAGACTCAAGGCACAAAGAGGAAAGTCTGTTATTACTACTATAGGGATGTTGGAAATTACTATTATGGACAAGGCCATCCAATGAAGCCCCACCAAATCTGCATGACTCACAATTTGCTGCTTAACTATGGTCTCTACCGAAAGATGGAAATCTATTGCCCTCATAAAGCCAATGCTGAGGAGATGATCAAGTACCACAATGATGACTACATTAAATTTTCGTGTTCCATCCACCCAGAAAACATGCCCGAGTATAGCAACCAGATGCAGAGATTCAATGTTGGTGAGGACTGCTCAGTATTCTCAGTATTTGGTGGCCTGTTTGAGTTCTGTCAGATATCTACCGATGGCTCTGTTGCAAGTGCTGTGAAACTTAATAAGCAACAGACAGACATCATTGTGAATTGGGCTTGGGGCCTCCACCATGCAAAGAAGTCTGAAGCATCTGGCTTCTGTTATATCAATGATATTGTCATGGCCATTCTGGAACTGCTAAAGTATCACCACAGGGTGCTGTATATTGACATTGATATTCACCATGGTGATGGCATGGAAGAGGCCTTCTATACCACAGACCGGGTCATGACTGTGTCCTTTCATAAGTATGGAGAGTACTTCCCAGGAACAGGGGACTTATGGGACTTTGGTGCTGGCAAAGGCAAGTACTATGCCGTTAACTACCCGCTCTGAGATGGGATTGATGATGAGTCCTATGAGGCCATTTTCAGGCCAGTCATATATAAAGTAATGGAGATGTTCCAACCTAGTGCAGTCATCCTACAGTGTGGCTCAGACTCCCTCTCTGGAGATCGATTAGGTTGTTACAATCTGACCATCAAAGGGCATGCCAGGTGTGTAGAACTTGTGAGGAATTTCAGTCTGCAGATGCTGATGCTGGGAGGAGGTGGCTATACCATTTGTAATGTCGCCCCATGATGGACATACGAAACAGCTGTGGCCCTGAGCACCAATATTCCTAATGAGCTTCCATACAATGACTACTTTGAGTACTGTGGACCAGATTTTAAACTTCACATCAGTCCTTCCAATATGACCAACCAGAACACAAATGAGTACTTGGAGAAGATCAAACAAAGGCTATTTGAGAATCTGAGAATGCTGCCTCATGCACCTGGAGTTCAAATTCAGGCAATTCCTGAGGATTCCATCCCAGAGGAAAGTGATGATGAGGAGGAAGATGACCCTGACCAACGCATTTCAATCTGTTCCTCTGACAAATGAATTGCCTGTGAAGAAGGGTTCTCTGACTCTGATGAGGAGGGAGAAGGTGGACGCAAGAACTCTTCTAACTTTAAAAAAGCCAAGAGAGTCAAAATAGAGGATGAAAAAGAGAAAGACCCAGAAGAGAAGAAAGAAGTCACAGAAGAAGAGAAAATCAAGGAGGAGAAGCCTGAAGCCAAAGGGGTCAAGGAGGAGGTCAAGTAACCTGAGAGGACCTCGCTAGTGCTGGCTTCTTGTATAGTTCCCCACAATTCTCCCCAACCCCTCAAGAGTTTATATTTTCTATTTCTCTGTGTATTTATATAAAAGTATATTAAATATAAATATCCCCAGGGACTAGACCAGAGCAAAGGTCCTGGGCCCAGCCCAGGGCAGCTCTGCTAGGTGCACTGTAGCTACTGTCTTTTAAACAAGACACAGGACAGAATCCGGACGTGCAGAGTACCTGCTTCCTTTTGGTAAGGTACCTTTATAAAGGTACATCCTAGGATGGGGGTGGGTGTTGGGCCCTCAGGGATTCCTAGTTCTTTTCAACCACTTTAGATTGGTTACTTTCTCTTAGCTCCCACATTGCAGCCTAACCCAATGTGAGCCAAGAAACTCACTACCTGCCCCTATCTTACCCCAGTTCTGCGGGTGGAGTTTGATAATCTAGTTTCCTTTTTTCAGATACTATTTTCATGTTTGTGGGAATCTTTGTAATAAAATGGTACGTTTCTACACTCTTGAAAAAAATTATCTCTATATGCAGATGATAAAATAGTATCCTTAGAAAAGCCTCAAAACTGAGCAAGAAAACTACTAGACATCGTTGACCAATTCAGCAAAGTGGCAGGATACAAGAGCAACATGCAAAAATCAATTTAATTTCTCTACAGTGACAATGAGAATACAGAGCTTTAGCTAAGACAAACAATATCCTTCACAATAGCTAATCACAAGATTAAATACTGGGGAATAAATCTAACCAGAAGCACAAGGATCTCTTCAAAGAAAATTATAAAACCTTACTGCAAGAAACAAAAATAGACCTAGAGAACTGGAAGAGTATACCTTGTTCATGGAAAGGAAGGCTCAGTATTCGGAAAATGACAATATAACCAAAGGCAATTTACACGTTCAATGCAATCCCAATACAAATAACAATCCTATTCTTCAATGAGATGGAAAAGGCAATCTCGAATTTCATTTGGAAAGGAAATAGGCCCATAATAAACAAAACACTCCTTAAAAAGAAACAAGGTAGGAGTCATCTTACTCCCTGATTTCAAATCCTACTACACTGCCATGGTGGTCAAGACAGTGTGGTACTGGGACAATAACAGACACATAGATCAATGGAATAGAATTGAGAACCCAGAAATCAGCCCATCTAACTATGGTCAACTGATTTTTGACAAGGAGATGAAGTCAGTTAAGTGGGGAAAGGAGAGCCTTTTTAACAAATGGTGTTGGCAAAATTGGAGAACTATCCGTAGAAAACTCAAGCAAGATCCACACCTCACTCCATACACAAAACCAACTCAAAGTCGAACAAAGACCTAAGACTAAAACCAAGGACTATAAACTTCATTAGAGAAAAGCTTGAAAGAACTCTAGAAGCCCTAATCCACAACATAAACAGTCTTCCAAGCATCTAGAAAAACCTACAACTAGGAAAGGATAAAATAGATGAATGGAATCTTCTTAGAATCAAATCCCTATGCATATCCAAAAACTTCTACAACAGGGAAGCCACAGACTGATAAAAAAAGATTTGGCAATTGCATATCTGATAAGGGACTTATGTTTTGAATTTATAAAATACTCAAGCATCACAACAAGATAAAGGTAAATAATCCAATAGACAAATGGGCACAGAATATGGGCAGACACTTCACCAAAAAAGACATTCAGATGGTGAACAAACACTTGAAGAAATGCTCAAAATCCCTAGCTCTAAGGGAGATGCAAATCACAACAACTATGAGATATCGTCTCACCCCAGTCAGAATAACAAAATTTAACAGAACAGCAAGCAACAAATGCTGGCAAGGTTGTGGAGAAACTGGAACCCTTATTCACTGTTGGTGGAAGTGTAAAATGGTGCAACCACTATGGAAGACTGTATGGTGTTTCTCAAAAGGTTGCAAATACCATTTGACCCAGCAATTCCATTACTGGGAATAGACCCTAACAGATACATGCACACCTATGTTTTATTTCGGCTTTGTTCACAATAGCAAAGAGTTGGAAACAACCCTAGTGCCCATCAACAAACGAATGAATAGAGAAGCTCTAGTGTATTCACACAATGGAATACTACACTGCATTGAAAAACAAGTAACTCATAAAATATTATATGAAATGGATGACCATGGAGGACATCATGCTGAGTGAAATATCTCTGTCACAAAAAGACAAATACAGCATAATGCCACTGTTAAAAGACAGGACTGACATGAGGGCTGGGGTAAACTAAGAAAAGAAGGGATAAATAATCTATACACCATTGAAACAGACAAGGGAGAGAACTATATAAAAGAAATATATGATTAGGTATTATTGGCATGACAAGAGTCCATAATAAAAGCCGCATAGTAAAGTGGTCTGGGATGGAGATGGGGGATAGTATAATAATGAAAGGACTTTTTCCCCAAAGAAAAAAGTAATCTTGGGGTAGTAGGGGCAGGGAGAAAAATGTGCAACAATGAATGATTGTAAACCTAAGTTTAAGTTCTTTATAAATTTTAATTAAAATCTCAAAAAATTAAAGAAGGAGATAAGGGGAAAAATAGAATCAATTACTACTAGTCTATGAAAATCATCCTAATCCTTGAGAAGACACTTTATCAATATTATCTGCTCTTTTCTCAGAAGGTGATCATCTTCGCCTGGTGAATGGAGGAGGTCGCTGTGCTGGAAGAGTGGAAGTCTATCATGAGGGCTCCTGGGGCACTGTTTGTGATGACAGCTGGGACCTAAGTGATGCTAATATAGTATGCAAACAGCTAGGCTGTGGAGAGGCTGTTAATGCTACTAGTTCTGCTCATTTTGGGGAAGGAACAGGGCCCATATGGCTGGATGAGCTGAGCTGCTCTGGAAAAGAATCTCATATTTGGCAGTGTCATTCACATGGCTGGGGGCAGCACAATTGTAGACACAAGGAAGATGCAGGAGTTATTTGTTCAGGTAAATATTTTATATACCTTCTGGTCATAATTGCATAAGAAAGGACAAAGGTGGAGCAAAGTGTAGTCAGAGACATTCATTTCAGAAAATTTCTTGACAATCCAGGTCAGAGACAACAATTATAGCAATCAGAATCCCTGAAGTGTGGGTTTGATGAGTTGGTGCTACCTCATATGCAAGACAATATTATATACAAAAGATAAAAAGACAGAAACAGGCTTGCATACCATCAATATGATAATAGTTAACATTGAGAAGTTTGTTGTTTTTATCTTAAATAAATTAATATGGAACTTGATAGAGGACAACAATTCAATGGAATCACTAGGTAATCAGAGCAGCAACTAAAAAGTATATTAAGGAGTAAAATATCACAATTAAATTTCTCATTCTTCAGATAAAAAGATAAGTTGCCATTCCCAATTTCTCGTGGCAAACAAGTGATCCTCACCTGTCATAGGAGCAAAGCTTATCATAAAAGATCAGTGCCCTTGCTCTGTAGACATGATACATTTTAGAAACTACCGTGATGTGGCAAAAAGATGTTCAGTAATATTGGGAGAAATGGTATCATGGCTCACCAACTTAGGGAAATAAATGGTATACGCCAGGAGAGATTGTCATTTCATTCTTCACTATGATACAAATTTGTAGAAAACAAAACAATGAAATATCAGGAAAAGAGATGGGATTTTTTAAGAGTATGTACACAAAACCTTTGTTTTAGTGCTTAAGTGTCTTCACGCTTGCTCATTCACTTATTAAAACATATAGTATTTTATTATGTTTACAATGAAGGTTTACACAGCGGTTTAAAATTCCACTCAACCATTACCACACATGTTGTTCAGTGACATTGATGCCACTCTTCATAGGACATGACTATTCTCATTATTTCCATCACAATTTCTACATTTCAATTACTCTAGTTTTCCTGATCTCTTTAGAGTCTCATCTTTGTTTTGAAATATTTGTTTCCCATTTAGTCTCAGGTTATTTTAAAAGTAACATAATGCTTATGGGTAATATTCATTATTTTTTTGCTGTTCTCACAATTTTATCAAAGGAAATTGTATGAAAATAAGGGAACACCTTAGAACCCGTGAAACTAAAATTACTCTCTAAAGTATATTTATGGAGAAGATCCAGAAAATTTAATTGTAAAAGACTAAGGCTTTGGATGAGATATGGAACTATTTTGGAATTATTTATGGTGTTTTAACAAGGCCACTAAGTGCAAAACCCAGGACTAGAATAGAATATTTTTGGGAATAAATACTGACTTTTACTAAATTGTCCAGCAGTTAGTAAAGTATCACCAGTATTTGACATAAAGTACATACTTTTAAAACTGTTGTTGCATCATAGCATAAGGCAAGAGTCCTTTGAATCTTCAGAGAAGACATATACCTGCTAACTCTTTTTCACACCAGAGTTCATGTCTCTGAGGCTGAATGAAGAGCCCAGAAGAGAGAGCTGTTCAGGACGTCTGGAAGTTTTCTACAATGGATCCTGGGGCACCATTGGCAGGAGTGGCATGTCTTCAACCACAGTGGCAGTGGTATGCAGGCAACTGGGTTGTGCAGACAAAGGGAGCATCATCAGTCCTGCATCTTCTGACAAGCAATTAGCCCTACCCATGTGGGTAGACCAAGTTCAATGTCCAGAAGGACCTGACAAATTATGGCAATGCTTATCATCTCCTTGGAAGCAAAGATTAGCCAGCCCTTCAGAGGAAACCTGGATCACATGTGCTAGTGAGTATATGATAGACTATCTGGAAATTATACTCTGCATATCCTATTATCTTCTAATAAAACAAACTAGACTTTGTTTCCCTATTTTCTAATGAGTGAAAACTGTTAAAGCTAATTAAGTAGGAACAGGAAACACTGGTAATTACTTATTCTACCTAGGTGATGTAATTGATCCCATCCCATTTGGCCAATAGGGATTCAAGACCAGTGAAGACTATTCCAAAGAACATAACTCTCATAATCTGCTTGAAAATTTAATTCAGTTGCTTTCTCTGAATAAGTGAAGAGAAGAAAATATGAGATTATTTTACTGTTGTTTGGATGGTCTATCTTACCTTTACCTTTTTTCTCTTTCAAATATCTTTTTTCTCTTTCAAATATCATCTTGCTAGTAGTGCCTGTATAACACAAACAGTTAAGTCCTTGACTATGAACTGAAAGGGTCATAATTCAAACCCGCCTACAAGGGCCTCATGAACCAATGCTGGAAATCTGATGGATCTGCCTGGAAAGCCCCATTTAGCAGTTCTATTCCACATGACCAAAATCACCATGAATCAGAACTGATTGCCCAGTAACAAGACCCAAAAATCAAAGCCAGTTTCACAGTAATAACATCATCTTGCTTTGCTAATATAAGGAAAGAATCAATCAAAGAAATCCTTCATAGTTTATTGTCCTTCATTTCTTTAAACTAGAAGATTTCTATTTACCCAACAATCTCCCAAGCTCTTTTGTTTCTATTTGAGACCTAACAGTGCATATTTTACAATGCTAACTTTCTAATTGACATTTCCTTTATTTCATTGTGATTCCAATAGAAAGGATGAAATACTCTCAGGTTTTATATTTTTATAAAAGGTAAACATAGAAATATATGTAGATATGTACTTAAAAACCACACTAAATAGACTCATTTTAAAGTAGACAAATTTAAAATTATTTCGAGTCTGTCTTCCTCTGTGATATTTTTAGAAGTTTAACCTTTGATGGAGAAATCATCTAAGTATATTTTTCAGACAAGATAAGACTTCAAGAAGGACCCACTAACTGCTCTGGACGTGTAGAGGTCTGGCATGGAGGTTCCTGGGGGACAGTGTGTGATGACGACTGGGACTTGGAAGATGCAAAAGTGGTGTGTCGGCAACTGGGCTGTGGCTCGGCTTTGAAGGCACATAAAGAAGCAAAGTTTGGTCAGGGCACTGGGCCCATATGGCTCGATCAAGTAAAGTGCACAGGGAATGAGTCCTCTTTGTGGAACTGCCATGTCAGATCCTGGGGGCACAGTGATTGTGGACATAAGGAGGATGCTGCGGTAGAGTGCTCAGGTGAGTGCCAGGAGCCTAGATTAAGTTTGAAGCCTTTGGCAACAATAATGGAGTAGATGATAAAGTGCACTGCATGAAAAAAACCAGCATATCAATGCAGGGACTTGGGTGGAAGGAGGTAATTGTGTTATTTCTAGTTGAAATGATGAAAATAAGGCTTCTGTATTTATATGGACTTTCACCAGGAAAAGAATGTTCTACAGATATATAGAGATATGGATATACTTATAGGTGGTCTAGTGGTAAGAAGCTCTGCTGCAATCCCAAAGTCATGTGGTTTGAATCCACAGTCCTCCTCCATGGGAGAAAGATGGGCCATCTCCTTCCATCTTATTTACTGCCTCTCAAAACCCACTGGAGGGTCAGCTGTGAGTTTGTTCTGACTTGATGGCATACAACAACATATGGATAGTAAGGAGTGTTGTGGCACAGTGTTTAAATGCTCAGTCTCAGTTGATAATTAAAGGTCACTAGTTCTAACCCACCACCTGCTCTATGGTAGAAAGATGTGGAAGACTGCTTCCATAAATATTTACAGTTGCGGAAATCCCATGGGACCATTGTATTCTGGATTTTTTATGAGTCAGAATTAACTCAATGGCTTCTGTGGTTTGTGTTTTTTGGGGGGATGGGAGGGGTGGGAGGTTGGGTCTTGATAGAAATGTGTCTAACTAGAAACGTCTCCATACTGAGGAAAAAGTAAGGGGTTCTAGTTTTAACTGGGAAGAACTGATTTACTCAGTTGAGAAGGATGGAGAGCTTAAATAAGGAAATAGAAATATTTCTGTTACACTTCATTGCCAAAGTTATTTTTCTCTTTTTTCCTACAGGAACTGCAATAACACCACCAAATTCCACAGGTACATCATGGACTTTATGATCATGAGGCTTTTTATCTACTTATTTGGAATTCATCTTGCTTAGAGACTTTAGGTCTAAAGAAATTCCGAGTTTAGATTTACATCAGGCATCTTGTGTCTAAACTATGAAAGGAATGGTAACTAAAGACCTGGGTCTTTAGTCAAGTCTTTTAATCATCCTTGTTGGTTTTCCTTTTCCTTAGGTCACTCATCACTCATTGCACTGGGGATCTTGGGATTCATTCTCATAGGTTTTGTCATCACCTTCCTTTTGTGGATTCAGAAACGAAGACAAAGGCAGCAGCTTACAGGTCTGAGCCAAATTGTGTCTCTATAATGCAGTCTCTATAATGCATTTCTAGCCAATAAGTTGGTGACTTGGATCCACAGGTGCTACATGAGAGAAAGTTGCGGCAGTTGGCTTCCATAAAGGCTTACAACCTTGGAAACCCTGTGGATTTATCTTACTCTCATAGGGTGCATATGGGTTAAAATAACTTCAGTTTGGTTTTTATTTATTACTGATTTTAACATGCTCACACAGTATCATCATATGTCAACAGGAAAAACCAGTAAGTAGGAAAAGATATCCAATTTGGTAGAGAATCAGAGAACACAGGAAAAGCTCTTTATTAGATAGATTGTCACAATAGCCACAGCATACTGTGACTCAACATACAAAACTAATCATGAAGATGACCCTGGATAGGGTAAATATTTTGGATTTGTATACATAAGGTTGCCATAAGCGATAGCCAACTTGATAACAATTAACAACAATGACATCATAACATTGTCTAGAGGTTAAAGGAGACATGGGGTAAAAAATATATATAAAGCAAAAAGAAAGATTAGTTTCAACTATCAAATGTTCAGAAAGAAAGAAATTAGAAAAGGTTTGAAAAATTTCTCATCTCAACACTATTCCAGAGGAAAATAAGGATTTTATTTACCTACATATTTTGTTGGGTCATTAGAGACCTGATGGTTCAGAATAAATATACTCTATGTGGTTAATGTAGTATACCGATTTTCCCAAATGTTTATTTCAATTTTCATTATTATAAATTGTTACTACTGATTTTGTTATTCTCAAGTAATATGCTAATCTCTGAATATAGAGACACAAAAAACTTTGTCTTCACAGAGTTTCAAGATTAGAGGCAGATCTACATGTAAATAGATTAACTGCAATGTACTATTACTGTACATTAAATAGGAACAAATAAAATAGTAAAAAATAAGAGAGGAATTAATTGAAAAAGTTTAGAGAGGATATGAGATTTTGGAGATAAAGTTTGAAGATAAAGTACAAAAGTTGAGGTTAAGTTCTTTAAGAGACAGAAAACCATGAAGAAGTATTATTCTAACAAAGCATGGTACATTTGCTGGGTTTTGTGAATGTGTATGTGTGTGCATTTGTGTATGTGTGTGTGTCTAGGGGATGGAAATTGATTGTAAAGAGAGTCACTAGTGATTTAGACTAGAGGAGATAAGAGGGAAGAGCCAAATGTATTCAATGGTAGAAGTTAAATAGTTATTAGAACATTATATAAGGGAGGGAAGTACTCAAGATGTCTTTTGGAAAGATGTCTTTGGAAACAACATGTAGCAAGCATTGGAAAGGACGATATTTTTGATAGGGAAAACGATTTGAAATAGTCAAGATAAAAAGTGAAAAAGTCTTTAACTTCAATGGGAATAGAGGAAGTGGATAGATTTTAGGGACATTTTAGAAAACACTCTAGTAATTTACAGATGACTTGGAGTAAAGCGTTGCACTGCCAGCTCACAGGCAGATAGTTTATATGTACCAATTTTGCTCTTTGGGAGAAAAAATGAGTAATCTCCTGAGTGATTTACAGTCTCTGAAATTCCATTGAAGGGTCCAGCTGTGAGTTGGTTCTGATGTGGACACACATTATAACAACAACTGATTGCCTTCAAAGAAAAGTTATTTAATAATAATAGAGAAAAGTCAGTTACCTGTCTATTTCACTGGGATGTATGACCTTTAAGGGCATAGCATAGATAAAAGTGTGTTTTTACCCTGCTGGGATAGAAAACACACATAAAGAAGGGGAAGTTGTATTGGGGCATACTCTTCTCTAATCTAGAATATCTTTTACTAGTGTGGTCAAGAGGAGAAAATTCTGTTCATCAAGTTCCATACAAGGAGATGAATTCCAGCCAGAAGGCAGACAATCTGGGACTGCTGAATTCCTCAGGTCTGTGGGTTCACTGAGGTTCTGTAGTCTAGGGGTTCATATGAGCAGCTGCAATTAACCTTGAGACATTCAGCTTTGCACATTGAAGAAAATCAATTTAAAAACAAGTATCTAGGAGGTTGTTGTTGTTATGTTCCATCGAATCACCTGCAACTCATAGTGACCCTATGTACAACAGCTCTGAACCCTGCTCTATTCTGTGCCAATTTTATTGTGTCTGACACACCTACCCTATTTATTCCAGCCACTGAATCAATCCAACTCACTGAGAGTCTTCCTCTCTTGCACTGTTCCTCCACCTTCCCAAATATGAGATTCCTCTGCAAGGTCTGATCCCTCCTTGCAACATGTTCAAAGTACGTAAGATGAAGCTTCAGAATCCTTGCCTCTAAGGATCAACCTGGACTCACCCTCTCTAGGATGAACCTATTTCTTTTCCTAGCAGTCCATGAATATTCAGCACTCTTCCCCAGAACCACAGTTCAAAGGCAACAATTCTCCATCTATTTTCCCTAGTCATTGTCCAGTTTTCTTGAGGCATAGCAAGTAACTGCAAAGACTATGGCCTGGATCAGGCACACCTT